GTCACTATGGTTCTCACACTCGCCGGAATCTCCTTTCCTCGGTATCCCGATGAGGTATTGTTCTTTTCAATCCCTATGATCGATTTTAGCCCCTCAAACACTACCATTTGTGGGTGCATAGCACTGGATGTCGTACATTATGATCCTCTCTTCCTTTATTTTGAAGGATGCTTTAAAGATTCTAGATCCATGAGATAACCATCTTATAATTGCTTTACGTACTTCCTTGGGCAGAATCAGTGCAACTCCATGTGTGCAAAGCATTCTGTTTTTCAAGACCAGAGTACAACAGAATCTATCCCGAGGCTTCTTCTGAGAACCGTCAAGTTGTATTTTCTCATTTACAAAACTATTTGACTGGTCCTAGAAGTCTCCCACATTGTCTTGACATTTAACGTGCCTATATCAGTCGTTGCTCTGGTTATTAGAAGGGGTATCGTCCTCGTGAATAATCTTGGTTTTCACTATAAGGCAATGTAATTCTTCTACATGAAGATCCTTCAACTCCCAAGACAATGTTTAAGTGGTATAAATGATTTTTTGGATTACGTTTCTTATCATGACTGTTTTTACGGGATGAGGTTGCTGACCCAATGCCAAACCTTCATCCTTGTTGGTATATACATATCCTAAATAACTATTGTGCTCAACAGTATTAGATTTCATTTCTAAGCTCTACTAATGTCGAACAGTGTCTTGTGCAAATTGATTCATTTGTTTGAGCAACAACATACATTTAAATATATAAACCGTTCTTCGGCCGACCGGTTTGTTTTGGATTCTTACTAGACAAGATTACCCGTATCTGGAATAACCTATGAAATATTCGAATTATTGTATCAAATAGGAATTTCCGAAACAGTAGAATTTAAGCCAAACAGAGCTGGTGAGCACAAACGAATTTAATGTATTTAGAATTCGAAATCAGGCGAGCAAATAAGCACGAAACAAACATTAGTTCATACAGACACCACATAACTTCAAAAGTTATCCCTCGTTCTAAACTGATTTATCTCTGAATCTACAGTTCCGAACAAAACACGGTCACTGTCAATACCGACAGCTTTTCTGCTGAAAACTGAAGTACTCTTTTTGTTGATAATCTGGTGCATGGTTCGAGAAGCCATCCATACATCGAAAGTATCCTAGCTTGAAACTGATAAATGGTAATGGGGACAAATTCGACGAAAAATCCCCATTGACAAAGGAAGTGACTTTTGATATTTTTGTGTGTCATCGTTCAAATTTAAATAGGGGCGATCATGATAACAGTGACACTAGTTCTGGTACAATATTAGATGATTTCAAAAATTTTAGTTTAGGCGGCAGACAGAAATCCAAAATACTGCAGTAGAATAGGTAACAAGGGAAAAAAAGCTTTACAGGATAGACGTAACGTAAACATAGCTAGGCTTAACGATTCTTACCGAAATTTTTTATTTTAACAGTCAAAGAGAGACTCATGAGAATTCGGAAATCATTTGGACAGTAGAATTACTGAAACGTCAGAAGCCATTAAGAATAAATGTTGCCCTCCGTCGTATTAAGTCCAGATCTCTATGGGGTAGATTTTAGTTACTTGAGACGAACATAGCGTCAAATTGACGACAAACGATAGAAAGCCTATCTTTACTGAGCTGACCAAGTTTATAACGTCCCGTCCTAAGGTCGCTAACACTAGATTCGGCTTTTGACAACCTGTCCTAAATAGGATACAATTGGAAGATCAGTTGTTATTTCTAATCTGGATAACGTAGTAGTTCATTCGTAAAACGTAGATGCGGCATATGCTTAAATGATCAGGATATTTATTAATCCTCAAGTTTTTGTCATTGACAGTGAAAGATCGATGGTCGCAAGCAAGGGTTAAGGGTATATATCTCGGGTAATCTCATAGAATCAATGATTGCAGGTCAAAAACGCGTTATAGCGTTGAAGAGTGTACAAAGAAACACAACTGTCTGTTAATTATTGATCTATCAGTCAACAGCTCAAAAGAAATATCAGAAACGGAGAGTCATTGCGAATTTATCAATCACCTAAGCAACTATGCATGCTTGGGAGTGGTTCCCATACGACTAGGACAAAGAGGAGCTGAAATTGTAGTTTGTGATCAGCCGGATAAAATTTCTGACACAAAGTAGATAAGATCAGACTTTGTTAAACTGGGTGAGACTATAATTTATGGACGACATTTGGGCGACGCTGAAGTGACCTTGAGAGTGGACGCCTACTAAATAGGATTAAATGAGAGTTATAAAGCAGTTAGAATTCTAATTTACAGTTAGCAGTTAAGGATGAAAGTTAGATTTAGGGTTTTCATCACGAACTGTCATCAACTATAATGTCGAGACTCTCTTTAGCTAAATGTATGGATGAATTTTGCTCCAAAAAGTCGAGACTCCTTATCTCATATCTGATTGGTTCGTTCATAAATTATAGTCTCGCCGTAATAAATGCACCTTTTGAGATGTATTCACCAGACCAAATTGAAAATGTTAAAATTAGAGCAGCCTTTGTTATAGAAAGAATACCAGTATGTAGGCAAGCCAAGTTTGCAATGAACGATCGAAGTAAGTGAATTGGTTGTGATGTACCGGAATCACCTTTGGTGTTATTCTAGCAGTTAAGGAGAAGGAAACACCCATTTGCCACAAAAACGTAACAAAGGTGAGTTATTATTTATCCACGTCGTATACTGAATTCAGAAGAGCAGCAGAAAATCATACTTTTTAAAGTGATGATAGAAAGCAGTTACACAAGCTTTATCACAGGGAAAGTCATCAGGATGTGATATCTGACCTATAATCCTGAAACAGTGAGCGGAATATACCAGGCACATAAATGAGACATGCTAAAGGACAAACAAGCATCTTAACTACCATGAAAAGAATGGACACGAGCTCTCTAATCTTAAAAAAAAGATAGAAAAAGAAAAGTCCATGTAGTAGTTCTTGGCTTCGGAAGAACAGCAAACAAAATACCCAAGCAATTCTCATAGATGCAATTTAAAAGATGAGATTCACTGACCCAGTTCTATTTTAGCTCCGAAGCTACCTGGGGAACGGTATGTTTCTCACTGAGGCAAATAAAGTGCACGTGAGTTGGGGAGTCTAAATATTAGGAGTTTCACAAGGGATAAACTTAGGTAAACTCCTGTCTCCGATCTTTATTAACAATCAGCCAGAAACAATTAGCTCGGCGATATCGATCAGCGAACATGATGCAAAGATCTGGAAGTCCATAAAAAACGAAAAGGATTCACTTGAGCTTCAAAAGGGTTTTACAGCACCTGGGGAATGTGCAGTAGACAATAGATTAAAAGTTGGTCTACCGAAATACCGAGTCATGAACATTCTGTCTCATCTGGTACCAAACATTTGCACCCTCTATGGAAATCCGCTTCCGACTGTCTCCTCAGAGCGCGATCTCGAGCTAGTGACCACAGAAATATTAGAAATCAGGTCAAACTACATAGGGGATATAGGATTTAATTCGTCTTACAGATATACTACTAGAACTGCAAAACACGATACTGACGACCCAGAGTCTATGTGAAAGCTATAGTTAAAACAATAACAACTTGGCTTTGAACTTTATGTTTCTAAATTTAAAAACAATTTGGTTAGTACAATAACTGAAGGAATTATAGTCATTACGAGGAACGCACAAACACACCGACTAGTATTGCGTGTCTTGTCGAAATGAACAAAAATTATGAGTCACGCTGATATGATAGGACAATAATGTTTTTGAATTGGTAGGTCAAGTGTAACAGAGACAGGCTACAGATACGTCAGACCAGATTGACGTGGTGGGCGTTTAAGCAACGATCTGATTGTTTGGTTATGGACACAACTAACAGGAGATGAGAATGTAGCGTGCGGTTGAGTCGCGGTTGACTATGAACACCGCTACCAAGAAACACGTGCCAAATAAACCAGAAGGCGTAGGTTGAACGTAACCAAGTAGATCCATGAAATCTCCGAGAAGCCAAATACCAGAAGGCAATTAATGGACCAAATCGAAATATATTTGCTGGCGATCTCGTGGTATCGAAAGGATACCGAGGTTGTGCCAGGATACAAGCTTGGTTACAGAACGTAACCGAATTCGCGCGAAGTTACAATCAAAGTGTAAGTAAAATAATGGAAGCACAAAAAATAGCTGTCATTAGCACAGTCAAACAAAAGAACATTAAAACAAACACTGGTACAGTTGGTTATAATAATAATTGTTTTTATTAAACCAGTCGTGTTCTCGTGATAAATGTGAGTCACTACAAGGTCAGGGCAAATGCAACCCTTCACTTTATGTGGAGGAAACTTCACGCAATAATCCCAGAATCGCCCCTAAATCTCATCAAAACGTGCGCACAGCCCGACTGTAATGTTCACAATGGTGTAGTGCTACCAGCCCTCCTCCTAGGAGACAACTTCAAGAGGACACTTGAAGAACACACACCCACCCACAAATTAACATCTTTCACTTGAACCGGCTGTGTCTGATGGATGTCTCATAACTTACTTACTGTTGTCCGTGTCACATATCATTTACTTGTCCCTATATCACCTATCATCATCTCCATTTCGCCTTTAATTCCTACATTTTGATCTCCCCACACCGTTTGTATTGCCAACTTGTTTATTTCTTTCCTGAAACAAATGTCTTCACTCAGCATTCAAATTTTCTATCAATTGTTTTTCGCATTGCTATCAACCGACCTCCTGTCTGGTAATGTGATAGCTGCCGGTCTCCAGAAACCTGCTACCCTTAGACAAATGCACCCACTCAAACTGCAAGATATATAAATACACGAATAACTATTAAATTGATTGGAATTAGTGCAGTCAAGTGGCTAGAGAACTACTCATTGGACATTACCAAATACCTGAAACCGTATCAAAACGAGAGGCGAGCGCAAATAAATTAATCGGTTTATACAAGTTCGTGACATTTATATTTTATGTTGGTAGCAACTTGTCGTAAGTACATTGAACATTTAAGATGAGCCAGCCATTCAAACTTAACTCAACAAATTAGTGATTGCTAATAGATTCCGAAGTTAAAGGCATTGTGTATTTGGTTTTTGAGTTCCAGTCTTTTTCGAATTTCTTATTTTAAACGTGAGTGTATTTGTCTAGTGTCTTTTAATGTTTTTGTTCTGTTCTCCTCTGTCTACTTGATTGTCATGATAGAAATGCACAAACGACCTTCAGCTGATTTCAGTTCGAAGTAATTGTTTCAGTAGAAAACTAAATATGAAGTTATAAGTGATGAAAATAATTAACAAGCCTGCACATGTAAATCATCTGGATTCTTACTATTAATCAATAGTTACCACTATGCATAGTGGTGGGGCATGCTCCACATCTGCATCAGACCCTCGTTGTTTATCGATGATACCGACTAGGTATGTACCTTTGTCTTGCACCATTCCTCACTTGGAATGCTTTCGTCAGTTACCCTCCATACGGAACTTCGCAATGCAGTCGAAAGTAGGAGTTCTGTGTAATAGTAACGATCTCAAGTATTTCATAGTGTCGAATAATATTCCACAAGGTTTTCTCATCCTCATTGTCATATGCTTCCTCATAATCAAGGATGTTGATGAAGAGAGAGAAAAAGTCATTAGGAATTTAGAACTTCAGAATTTGGGGGAAGATAAAGAACTGATTCACCTGGGCCATCGGGAACGATTTCGAGCCATGTCATTCAAAGTCTCTAATTATTGGTTCTGATATTCATATGGACCCTAATCAGGTAGTTTGCACCTACTAACATGACTAAGTCCAATTGTCAATGACTTCATGGACTGATGACATGTTTTTGGTTAACCCGCCCAGTCTTCAGTAATAAGGATAGGAGGTCTGTCGACCTATATTAATCCTTGCAGTTTGTAATACTGTGGAGGTTCAATCTCGTTTTGAATATATTAACAGACGGTGCTGATATTACGTGTTCCGGTAGGGAATTCCAGTAATTCACTACTCGGTGCGAGAAACGGAACTCCAGACGTAAACGGTTTGATCTCGGTTTTTGAACTTTCTTCGAATGTCCTCTCAAATGATCGGTTCTAGACGGAAACAAAAGATAAGACATGTTAATACCAAGGTCATCGTTCAGTATACGATAAGCCAATATTAGATCACCCCGTACTCTACGGTAAGATAACGGAAATAAGTTAAGGTGTCTCAGTCTGTCTTCATAAGATAGGCCAGCTAGACCTTGTACCATCTTAGTAGCTCGTCGTTGGACTCTTTCTAGCATATCTGCTTCATATTTGAAACAAGGACTCGCTGCTTGAATCCCGTATTCTAAATGTGGTCGCACATAAATCGGGTATAGTAATCCAAACATTTCATCATCTAAATACTGAAAAGACCTACGAATTGACCATAATACCCTATAGCCTTTTGCAGCAGCAGCCTTACAGTGACTAGTCGTTTTAAGATCATTGCTTAATATAACTCCTAAGTCTTTATAGTTTCTTGCTTTGGGTAGCACGAATCCACGTAGTGTATAGTCATACGATTCATCAGAGTTATTTAACTGCATCACTACACTCTTATTAGGATTTACTTCTAGTGACCACCTGTCTAACCATGCCACCAATGAGCTAAGATCGTCCTGTAATACTATTCTATCCGACATACTATGTATGGGTCTCCAAATCTTTATGTCATCAGCGAAGAGTAGAACGGATGATTTTGTTACAGTTGGCAATTCGTTTACATAAAGTAAAAAGAGAAGAGGACCTAGGATTGTGCCTTGGGGAACCCCACTTTTTACAGGTACCCACGAAGGGAGAGCCCCATTAACCCTTACCCTTTGTCTCCTGTCATGGAGAAAGTTACTTATCCAATCGACGACTGTGTTATGGATTCCAAAACGTTTCAGTTTGAATTTAAGACCAGAGTGTGAAACCTTATCAAAGGCTTTACTTAGATCTATGAAAATTACATCCACAGGAGCATTCCGATCCTTTGCCGCAGCCCACTCTTCTCGTGCAATGAGAAGATTTGTCAAGCAAGATAGGCCTTTCCGAAAACCATGTTGTGCCCTGGAGAAAAGATTTTGCCCTTCAACATAGTTTATAACAGCTATCCGAATGATTTTCTCCATCAGTTTCACAACTGCACTAGTTAAGCTAACGGGTCTATAGTTACTAACTAAATCCCTACTCCCAGCCTTATACACCGGACTTATTATGGCGTCTTTCCAGTCTCTAGGAAGTCTGGACTGTCTCAGAGACATGTCGAATAGTATCGCTAATGGTTCAGCAATTTCATCTGATATGGCTTTCATAATCCTAGGATGAATATCATCGGGACCACTGGACTTATCAGGTTTGAGATGCTGAAGTAGCCTTAAAACAGTATCTTTCTCAATGACTACAGGATCCATCAGCGAGCCGTCACGGTCACGATGAATCATTGGTCGTTCCTCATTACCGATAGAAAACACTTTACTAAAATATTCCGATAAAGCTTCAGCTTTTTCGGCATCATTCTCTGCTAAGATTAACGGATTGTCTCGTATCAAAAGTGATGGAATTCCATCGCTTCTCTTAGTTCGCCTTTTTATATACGAGAATAACCGTTTCGGACTATATCTAGAATCCCTAACCAATTTTTTTTCGTATGAATGTCTAGTCTTGCTTATTAACGCTTTACAGGCATTCCTAATCTTACAATAACTGGATCTGTATTGTTCTAAGCCAGTAGAGATGAACATATTCCAGTGATTCTTCCTTTTTCTAAGGAGTTTCCTGACCGTTTTAGTTATCCATGGTGGACTATTATTCGGTCTTCGCGGTACCAGGTATGGTATGAACGGGGACGTAACTAGTCTAAATTTACCTTTAAATACAGACCATGCTTCTTCAACTGATATGCTAGTATCTACTAACCAATCTGTCTTAGCAGCGCATTCCTGAATGGCTGATATGTTAACTTTCCATACATTTGGGCGCGGTGTAACCTGATCGTATAACATGTCCCTAGTTCTTAACGCGAATGACAAAACAGCGTGATCGCTGTTTACTAACGGTGGAAGAATATTTAAGTCGACAATATCCTCAGTCTCATGAGTGATTACCAAATCCAGCAGAGAAGAACCCTGATTAACACCAAAACGTGTGGGTTGGGATACATGCTGCACTAGTGCATGCTCCATTATTGTTATCAGTAACCTACTATCAAAGGAGTTTATAGATCCTTCTGTGGTCATATCAGTCCAACTAATATCAGGTGCGTTAAAGTCTCCTATTATCAAGCACCTGGTATTATCACTCCAAAGATGAATGTGCTCTAAAACAAAGTCATCAGCTGAGCAGATTGGGCTCCGATAGATGACACCTAGCATAAATGTACCACATCCTATAGCCAACTTACAGCTAATGACTTCACAAGTGCCGCTATCATGGGATTCGCTAGTAGAGGAGCGGATATTTATGCCATTGGCTATATATAACAGGACGCCGCCTCCTTTCCTACATCTATGTCTATCACTCCTGATGCAATGGTATCCGGATAATTCTGGAGTAATGTCTAAGTCATGGACTAACCAAGTTTCTGTCACTGCTACTATGAGTGGCCTTAACCTGTCTACTAGTGCTTCTAGTTCATAGAACTTATTTCGTAAACTGCGAGCGTTGGCATATAAAACTCCTAAGTAGAACAGCCTATCCACACAGGCCTTGGTAGCATTCTCTTCCAAGACCTGACTATCCGAAAATCCACTAGTCGGAGATTTTCCTCGCCGTTTTGCCGACGGGTTTCAAGTTCAGCTAGTGCTTTCTTCCTTTTTATTCTATCTTCGAGAGACATGTCAGGTCTAACTCGGATGTCAGAATTGTCGTGACAACGAGCGCTACTTAACAAGAGATCGCGTTGCTTCTCCGATCCTAGGATTACCTTAAGGAGTCTGCATGGACGGGGTTCAACATTGTCCTCGGTCCTCTTGCCTATTCTTACCAATTTTTTGACCTGAACTCCTTTGGAGTTATCTGGTAAAATACTACGAATGTATTCTCCTAGCTTTTCTAAGTCATGCGCGTGTCTAATTTTCGGATCAGGGTCGTTTGACTCCCGCAATTTGCTCACAATAATATTCGATGTTATTAGATTTTTCTTCTCAGTCACGCCAGGATGGGTTTCACTCTTACCTTCAGATTTTGGTAGTCCAATTTGTGGCTCACAATTTGGGTCCACCAGGGAGTTACTAACTACCTGTGTACTGCTTACAGCTTTTTTCTTTTCGGTTCGTTTCCTACGTACCGTATTCCATTTTTCATCCCTCATAACACTGGGACTATTTGGAACGGTGACTGTTTTATCCAGATCTTCGGTTCCTATTAAAGGTGCATTATTAAAAATGTCAGTACCAGGTGGTACTACTCCCCCTGTTAATGTCAACGAAGATTCCACTTTTACGTCAGTCAGAGTCGGTTGTTTGAGGCGTCGCGTAACAACAGGTACTACACTGACACATTCGTCGCTGTCAGTGCCCGTGTTGTCAGCGCATATGCCATCCTTCTTTTTACAGGCCAAAGCCAACAGGCTCATAGCCTCCTGTATTAGTAATGCCTTGTTGGCACAGCAAAACATGCAAAGCCAATGTGAGTTAGGCTTCGAGCATCTTTTGTATGCGGTGGGACTTAAGCAGGTGCACATTTTGTGGAACCACTTATGGCATTCGTCACACTGCATCCCCTCTTCCACAGGGAACAAACAGTTTGGTTGCCCATATTTGTGAGTCTTACCAACCATTGTAATTCGATTTAAAAGGTTTAAAAACAAAAAATGATAACAATGTGAACACAAGTGTTAGTCAAGGACTAAAAACAGGTACTCAGGACAAAACGTAGCAAAAAATTTCAAACTTTAACCAAAGAACTCTTAGTTAAAGTCGACCAAGAATGCTTTTTAGTGCAATAAGTACCAAAAGCAAGTATAATCACCACAAGTACAAAATTCACTGCCCTTTGTGAAATTAGCGCGCCTACTCCTACACAAGAAAGCATCCCCCGTCAAGATTGACGGTGGCTGAGCATACGTTACACATGTATTCTGTCAATGAAATTCCAATGGGATCACTAGTTTAAGTAGCTTGTTTTGTGTACATTGCGTTTTGATGTTAAGTGGTCGTAGACATTTGGTAAGAAATTTAGACTACTTTCACTTGTCTAACATATTAGAGTTTATGTTGAATTTACATGAAGAACTTACGATATCTCGACTCGCACGTTCCCATTAAATGGTTATAAATGAACCAGTTATAGTATTATAATTTCAGTTTAGACTCTTCTTACCCCTGTCATGTATCTATCTCACTAACAATTAGGGAGAACTATAAATTAGACTTTACCCCATAAGGTGTTTTCAACAGCTTTGGAAAACCCAATAGCCCGGCTGAAACTAGTAATTTAGACCACGTGATCGTGACTAGGTTTTTATTTTCTAGTTTCGAGTTCCCCCCCCTGACGATGTATTGCCACTTACTTAACAGTTGTCAGCATATCTGGTGCCAGGTTCAGTAAGAAGCAATCGTTCAAGTAAAAAGTCTTTTCTGAATGCTATTTCCCAGCTACCTTTGTAGGAGTGGCCTTTGGTATCAGTCCAATTTTATGAAATAAAATCTGTGGCTATTTGATATTTTATCCAATACTTAGACTCACAGTTCACTTTTAAATAGCTAATAAAGTTGCGAAAATGATCAAGTTCTTTTTTTCATTAGAGGAACTTCTATTATACTCCTTTGGACTAACTTTTGTATACAAAAAAGGAAGCACAATTCTTTCACTAGCCTAGTAGCTGCAATTTTATTTTGTAAGGCAATTTCATTTTCTGTCAATACCAATTTTAACTAGGTAATTATTTACTGACTAATATGGTGAAATGAAACCATACTTATTCTACTAACCCTTTGCTAAAAAGGAAAGTGGTTGAAAGTTGAGTGCTCTAATCAATCAGTTATTATCCAGCTATGGTTCAAAGTTCACTCTTATAACCTCAATAAATAGGTGGGATTAAAGTGGAGACGTATTGTGTAATTAAGCGTTATTTGTTATCTGTAGCATCTATAAAAACCTTTCTGTTTTTATATCGGATGATACACACTGTAGCTACCATTTATGTAACCAACATAATCGATTATTTTCTAAATTTGGTTAGGCACATTGTTTGTCGGGAGTATTTACGACCTACTCTCAGATCAACGGATTTTCGGAAATGGATACGTTATCCGAAAGTGACTTCAATTTATCCGAATCACTGAAATCTTATCCAACGTTTGCTTCTATGGGGTTAAAAGAAAACCTTTTAAAGGGGATTTATGCCTACGGTTTGTTGCATTATTTCATGTAATTCTTCTGTAGGATTTGAAAAACCCTCCCTTATTCAGCAGAAAACTATCAAACAAATAACTTTAGGGAGAGATTTGATTGCACAGTAAGTTCAGCACATTTACAATACATAGAACAGAAGTTACTTTTGAATTTCAGAGCTCAAAGTGGGACTGGAAAAACTGCAACATTTAGCATAGGAACTTTGCAAAACGTTCTCCCCGAGATCTGTCAAATTCAAGTGCTAGTCTTGGCACCCACACGCGAATTGGCTTTCCAAATACATCATGTATGTTTCTGTCTGTATTTCACTATTTTCCGATATGATAAAACGAAATATGATAATGAAAACGAAGCAACTATCGAAATTATCATCTGATTTTTAACAACTCAATAAAAAGTACTATCCCCTTTGAAAAAACCAAACAGAGATTTTCAGCTGAAATCTTGAACCATATAAATAAGTTTTTTCTGCCACTAATTCGAAAGCTTTAACAAACAATGGTTTTTTAATGAAAGTGTATGAATAAATTAAAATTCTTTAGTTTCAGTAGCTAATTTACCGAAATTCTCGCTTATTATTGAATGACGGATGATAAAAGAAGGATCATCATTATGATCTTACAGTCCTACATTAATCTGTTACTTAAGTCTAGCAAAGTAAACACATAACTGTATTTTCATATTCTTATTAGAGCCTATTTATCCATACGTAATTTTAGACTACATCCCAGTGATACTTGTTAAATATCTTAACAGAATGTCATTGAAGCTAGTTGGAGGTAACTAACTGTACAACAACAATGAATATGACACTGTTGATTCTCATCTTGAAAACTGGTTGGTTTGCACTTCTGGATTACTCCATACTATAAGAATATATTCACTTGTGACCAACAATGTAGGTTCCAATGTATCATTTAGCTTATCGTAAATTATCTAATTTGCGTCAAATTTTTCCACGGATGTGTGTATCTAAACCAGAATAACTCATGTAATCAATCAAACTAAACTATCTTCTCATTTTAGTTTTACGCTCAGTCTGTCATATCCTGTTACTCCCGCACAAATTTTGTGGAGTTTCCAGTATGAGTGGCATTAACGCCGATTGGAACATTATAATCGGCACGTTATTTTACATACCATTAGTACCCATATTGTCATTTTTATGTCGAAACTTCACCGAGTTCAGTAGAAGCTTTCACTACTTATAGCCTAAACTAAATTGTCACTTATCAATTCCACTTACTTTCAGCATAATAAATCCAGCTGAGATACTATAACGTTATCAAGTGGAGAAGCGTCCCTATTTATTTCAGCGTATAAATTACTAGACTTTCACACGCTACTTGTTTATTCTACCCAAATTACATCAATAAGCCAACTTTAGACAAAATCGTCTTTTGTCAAGCGATCCAAGAATTCTTCCAGTTATTTTGGTTAGATATTTCCGGTTAGGAACAGTCAATACTATTTTTTACCAAAGAGTATATTGTATCTTTAGTTTAACTGTAGAAAGAACAATACGGATTTTATCTACAAAATAGAACGTAGTGAAAAATACCAGGATGTTTGGGGTGAGTTTCTCCCCCTCCAAATGCAAGTTGTTACTCGAGGACTGGCCTGTGTCAACACCTGAACTAAGGATAGGGAGTGAAGTAGTCAAACGCGTTGACAACTTCACTTATCTTGGGAGTCTGATCAGCCTTAATAGGTTGGTGTCTGACGAAACCTCAGCACGGATTCGAAAAGGTCGATTGGCTTTTGCCAACTTACGTCACCTATGGCGAAGGTGAGATATCCGTCTGTCAATTAAGGAACGAGTATACTGCACAGAAGTTCGTTCTGTTTTACTTTACGGCTGCGAAACGTGGCCATTAATAGGAGATACTCGTAAGCTACTACAGTTACCCTAGAAATATTGCTCGTGTCTTCTGTGATCACCGGGTAAGTAATAGTGAGGTTAGACACGGGGTATTATGGAATGATGGTAATTCAGTTGATGAGGTTGTGGATCTTCACCGACTGAGATTGTTGGACCACGTGTTGCGTATGCTTGAACACCGATTACCACGACGCGCAATGCTGACTAGTGTTGGAGACGGTTGGAAGAAAGTTAGAGACGGTCAAACCAAACGCGACATTAGTGCTTGAAGTCGCTAACTTTTAGTCTTGGCCATGTTGGTATATGGGGACTACATGGTTGTCAGTCAGTCAGTAACAACGTAGAACTTCGTACGTACGTACGTCAGTTCGAGTTGCCATACCACTTTAGCACAGAGATGCAGTTGTCCATTCAAATCCCGTAGTGGTAGAGGTAGTAAGAGTAACCAATCGTTGGAAACTCTGGGTGACATGGCTCAGAATCGATCGCAATGGGGTAGGTGTATACACTTAAACCGTGAGATTAAACTTGCTTTATATCTTTCTTCCTGTACTTTATCCCTATATGCAATCTTTCTTTTATATATTATCACCATTGAATTAACTATGAATTCGGTGTTCATCTTGTGCTAATAAGGTATGGCAACCTAGACTGGTGCATATATGTGCCTGATCCTACTTTGGATCTAAGTCACTGAGTGGGAAATGTTACAGCGAATTTCGGCTATTGTAGTTCGTGAAATTAATTTATCTTGTTGGTTGAAGCATTTGGCTTCCAACTACTTGGTCACAGTTTAGAACACTAGACAACTAGGTAGTGTCACTATATCTAAAACAAAATATTGCTCAAAGCTGAATACATGATATTGCCCCCAAATGTCCTTGTACGACCGGGGGTGGGGGGAGTCAGCTCCCCCTCTCGAAATGCTCTTACATGGCCAAGTGTATACAGCTTCTACCAGGGAAGTCCTGTTCACTGCCTTCTCGCGGCGGGGGTGTTGTTTACGAAATTGAGAGGATGAAAAGCTAATATCCGAAGCTTTAACCGGATAGGTGGATATGGAGGATCCACGTAGGGAAATTGGAATACTCTGATTACAAACCACTGGTGCATATGGGCTCCAGGATCCTGAGAGAACAAATGGCGTATGAAACAATTATTGGTCACCGACTACCATGAGACTGCATCTCCTGACATTGCTCCACTGCCTTATGGATTAGACCTTTAGGTTAAAGGCTTGTGGTGTGACCCCCTAAGAAGACCACCTGCTTCGGTTTGGGCACCTGGGCAGTATCACAGCCCTCACACAAATCGAATGATTTTTGTGGCTCATATGTTTTTGGTACCTCCTTGTACCAATGTTTATGTGTTTAAATAAATAAACTTGGTAAATAAAATACATTGATGAGTCTGCCAAGTTTTTATACCACAGTAAATGTTACACATGAAGTTTTAAGTTTATCGCATTTTCAGATTACTAATCCAAGGTTTATCTTTGCAGTCCGCTACTGCTTTATTCGATTGATAGTCATTAAGCTATTGACTGTGTATTTGAATAATCGAGTCTATCTTCAGCTAATAAGAATAGACCATATTACCATTATTGTAATCATGAAGTATTTATTATCTTATGCTTTTAGGTTATGTCATCATTGTCTGATTACTTGTCTATCAGATGTGTCTCCTGTTGTGGTGGGCGAAACAATACTATGCAAATGGCTCGCGAACTTGATAAGGGAGTGCATGTTGTCGTTGGTACTCCAGGTCGAATATTGGGTAAATTATTTGGTTTAGTGTTCTTGAAATTTACTTACATCATAGCTGAATTACTACTTCTAAAATTTCCCTTAGGCTTGCTTACATAACAAGACAAGTAGGGAGTTCCAAATAAAAAATATCCATTTTCAAATAGTATAGTATGTAACTTTAGTGTTCCCTTAGACACACTTATAATCATTCTAGCATTTATGTTAATCCGTTTTATGGTTTATTTTTAAAATAAAATGAAACAACGGTCCATCACTACGTATTTTTCAGTTAGTTTTTGCGATAGACGTTCGTTTTGGTAATTTCTATCCAAAATAAACTTATCAAAGTATTAAATGATTTCGAGTCAATTTATTTGTCTTTTCAAGCTACATTATCTTTCCTCCTGTTCATTGTTTTCACGTGAAAAGTTTGAATCAGTCACTACGTAAATAATCAATCAACCACGCAAAGCAGAATTAATTCAATTAGTAGGCAAACTGCAACCGTCTCATTTTCTTGTTTAAAGTAACCCGTTTATCAAGTACAAGTTACACTATGTTTGGTCGAATGGAACTACTCGGCTATTCAAACTCGAAGTAAGAGGAATTGCTGGATTTGAAACTACTACATACTGATTGGAAGCTAAGTGCCCAGTGACTCTTCCACTTGTAGAGTATTTTGTATGCATATATATTCAGAGTATTATCAAGTAAATAAAACAACATAGAATCTGAGGTCTGTACAAAATTCACATTCTTACTAAGATGTAATTATTGATGCTACATTAGAAGTTTGATTGTGCCTGCAATCATGAAAGTTACTACTTTTCTGTAAGAGATATTATTTTTAAATTGTTTATAAAAGTGGATATGTAGTAGGTATGCTAATTATTTTCACAGCTGTTAAACTTCTCACAGTAACATATCCCCATTTTAATATTCTTTTTTGAGATTAGTCATCATCTGGTAACGCTCATTACCCAATTCCACTGATTTTTGCTTCTTAGAGCTTCTTCGACAAGGTAACATACGTTTAAATAAACTACGTTCTTTGGTTTTGGATGAAGCTGATGAAATGTTAAATAGAGGATTACACGATCAGTTAGAGGAGATATATCGCCGCCTCCCATCTCATACTAATTCGAATAACAAAAAGTCTCTCAGTTGTCAAATTGTTATCATCTCAGCTACAATGCTTAAAGAGCATTTAGAATTGTTTCAAAATTTCACATCTAATCCTGTTTGTGTTCTTGTACCGAGGTAAATTATATTATTATTATTATTATTATTATTATTATTATGATTTATCAATTGTGATACTTTTGTATAATTACTTCTTATTTTAGTTCCTCAAAAAATCAATAAAGCAATCGTATTCCTACCTTTTGGACGTCTACCACCTTTGAAATAAATAGAAATTGTTCTGGCTTTCATTTTTTTCTTTTATATCAATTATATGTTTAATTTCATTTATTCATCTATAGTTAATATTTTTACAAATTTCACTAACTATATAGGCATTTAACTTGCAATAAATATTAGAATCATTGATTTAACATGAGATTAGAAAGAAAAATGGGTTCTGTAGAATTGTATAAAAGTGAATAGATCCAAAGCAGTGGTCAATGATTACATATAATTCTCTCTTTTCACTTTTTATCTTTAAAAAACGAAACTTTCGTGTGAGATACTTTTATGACAAAACAAAACTACAGTTTTCTAAGCGTAAATGAAAATAGACTAAATTTAGTTGCATAACATAGTATAGGTTGTGATGTAGTTGCCGTTGAGTTCCAATTTATCTTTGAGATCCAGTAGTGTTTCTTGGTTTTTTATGTTGAATTAGGTGTAAAAGTTAACAGTTAAATAATGTTGCAACATTAATAGTCGAAATAAATATAGATATTTTCACAGTTGAAATCAGTCAATCTAAGCTAGACCACCATTTAAAACTTGGAGACACTGAACGCTGTTTCGTCCCAATGTGAGACTTGCATGCGGGGCTCGGACCCAGGACCTGTTTGTTAATGTCTAACTTCAATCAATCCATGATCTTGCGGTATCAACAAATTAGATGATTTAATCGTAATATCATTAAAAGTTATACTACTTGGTTGATCCAATTAATTAGTGGGGATTCATATCATTTCATTCACTTATTTATGATATCTGTGATAATAGCAATAATTGGTAGTTACAGTTTGATACCAGTATACCATAGCTCTTTTTGCAATCTGGACTACTCTAAAAGGTAAATCTTGTAAGGAATACTTATTCAGTAGAGGTCAACGAGGATTAATTCATGTTGAAGTTGGTTTCATTGTACACAGATTAAAGTTGCTGACTGTTAAATTGTCACACAAATTTAATACAAAAGTCAAAGTAATTGTAATCCCTCTTAAAACGGTACATAATCTTACACTTGATTTCTTCCAAAATATTATATTTAAGGATTTCATACTCCAGGTAGCTTCATTTGGTAAATTTTCGCTATACTAACTGACCTTTTCAATACCTGTTGATTCCACTAATTTGTCTTAAATTTCATCTATAGAGACGAACTTAGTCTTTCTGATCTTCAACAATTCTACATCGATGTTGGCTCAGAGGAATGGAAATTCGAAGCGTTAAATGATTTATTTTCCAGTGTTTGTGTTTCACAAACTGTTGTCTTTGTTAATACTCGACGAAAAGTTGAGTGGCTTGCAAGTCAGTTGAAACGAGAAGGTTTTACAGTGGCTGCTGCTCACGGTGATCTTGATCAAAGCCAAAGAGAGTCAGTTATGAAACAATTTCGTTCTGGCGAATGGTAATTTTCTTGTTTTTCTTCGTAGATACTGTCATAATAGAAGATTTATGTAAAAAGAAGAAAGCCTTCTAACTTGTTAGCTTGGTTCTCAAATTTCAAATCCCACTGAATTTATCAGGTGTTTAGTGATTAGTGCCTTCATGCAGTGGTTGAAGCTCATATACCTGTATGCATTATTGTCAATACCAGCATTCTATTGATATCGTTAATAATTCTAAATTAACTTTGGCTACTCTTTCTTTAAAATGTTTGCCTTTTTACAAAATGCATGAATGTGTTTCACTTTTTTATTTCCCAGAGGTAGACTGTATAATGTTTTAACTAAAATCACAAATCAACTTTCCCGTCCACCGTTTCCACTATTCATGATAGTAACCAAATTAAATGCTCTCAAACATACTGGAATTTTTTTTACATAATAACTCACTTTTCATATCGTAAAACTAGATATTAAATGACTCCAAAATTTCCGTAAAAATCAATCTGTTGTCATTATTTCAACGAAGTGTATATTATCCACCATACTGTTATTCACATGTTATTTCAAACTGAAAGTTGTTATTTTATAGTATACATCACGACCTAATCTTAGTCAAACAACTATTAGAAACCAGTAGACATTGAACAGCTGTTTCGTCATAATACAGAACTCCTCAACAGTCTGCACCTAAGTCCCTACTGAGGATCGAACCCACGGTTTTCAGGTATCTGGGCGAGCACATATCTCGAGACCACTGGGTCGCTCGCTTTGAGGCCTAAAACCTTTGAGTTCGATCTTCATCAGAGTTTTCGGGGAACATTTCTGAAGAGTCCCATGGTAGGGCGAAATAGCTGTCCAGTGTTTTCCGGTTTCTTGTGGCGATTAAAGTTAGTTAATAATGTAGATTATGATATTTAACAATCTCCACTAACCCCCTATACTGATGAAAGTTGTCATCAAAAAGCTTTAGTAAAAAAGTAATTGGGTTATTTTTGTCGGACGTTCGATGGAATTAAGTTCAAGCTCCACTTTCATCTAAATGGTTGATTTATCCCACTAACTTCTGCGTAAACGAATTGCGGCACAAAGCTGGGTACATGATTCTGTACTTCGGAAATGATGTAAATTGATTGATTTGTCAAGTTTATACCAAAGTAGATACTATTTATGATGTTAAAATTCTATCACATTTTCTAAGTTAATGGTTCAAGAGGTATTCTTTTAGACCGCTGTTTTGTTCAGTTGATAGTCCGCAAACTGTCGCGCTACTTTCCTTTTAATTGTTCTTGACATTACTTGCAAATAATTTCCAATTTCTGTACATTATATAATGCTATTATTTTCTTTTTACATCCTTTTTTATATTTCAGTCGTATTTTAATCAGTAGTGATATGTGGGCTAGAGGTATTGATGTTCAGACAGTGGGATTAGTTGTGAATTTTGATTTGCCAATGAATACCAGTGAATACTTACATCGTATAGGTCGTTCTGGGCGTTTTGGACGTACTGGTTTGGCTGTTAGTTTTATTGCCAATGCTGAGGAACGTAAACAGCTTTTAGAAATTTGCAATTATTATCAAATTGCTATTCCACCAGCACCAGCTCGTTTGGATAAAATGTTAGTCATTAATAATTCTGTACACAATTCACCCAAAATAGCAAATTCACCATGTAAATCTGATACAAGCAACGGCCAACCTGTAAAACACCATCAACTTGCGAAACATTTAAAACGTAAGAAAAAACAACACAAGAGGAAAAAAAACTTGAAAATTGCAAAATAAAATAAACTTTGTACATCTGTTTCTATAAATTTAATGCATATGCTTTTTAGTGTTTTGAAGATCAAAGGTGTTATGTCTAATCTGTAATTGCTTTCATGAAGGTTGTTAATAACAGTTCAAGTCCAGTCTTTCCTAGTAAAAATGACAGTAAACGGTATCTGTATATTTCAAACCACCAATAATTTCGACCAAATAGACATACTGTCACCTTATATGCAGGTGATAATTTCAATATTATCGACACTACTTCATAATTAAGATAAGAGTCTGAATATATATAAATATTTTATTCATATGTTTTAACCCCGTACAAAAATTCGAAAACATTTGTCTATCGATTATAAACTTGGTCGTGTTTAATTTACTCTAAATCATCCTTTTCCACTACTATTTAATCATTACCTTCTCTAATGTACTCGAGGTCAATCAATCCTATAGCTATCATTTCCTAAGGTTTACGGTTTTATAATATTGTTCAGTGTCATGCTTAAGATTGGTGGGCACCCAGTGACCGGTCAACATCATTATTTCAGTCCTACAGGAGGTCATTCTCTGCTGGTACTTGTGAATGGTGGCATCCCAGACTGAAGCTTGGTGACGTGAACTCAAATCACATGATAAGTACCAGTCCCCTTATGAGTTCCTACTAAAACCTAATGTAGGTCCAGGGTTTCCTGCTGACTCCGAAGGAATATGTAACACCAGATACCCTAGTTACAGTATCTCAGTAATATTGTCAAATATTTCCTGTAAAATTTTGATGACTCCAATTCGTTGCGCCTTAGTATGTATCTCCTTTGCGGTGCGCATCTACGACTGTTACTGGGGACCGAACCCGAAACCTTCGGTCTCGTATATGGACGTTCAACCTCTAAGCCACCAAACTGGGATCCAGTGGTGTACACGTCTAACCTCAATCGATCCGCGATGTTGCACGACCACCTTCTATTGTCTTCGATGGGTAGCCCACTTCTGGCACAGTTGGACTCCATTGGTCACGGCTTCTCACTAGAACTGTGGAATGTTCCTTTCGACGCTAGTCACCGGTGATCATACAGAGGGGGGAGTTTTGCTGTTTGTTGACTATTACTGAGATAATGAGCCGATCTAAGTTAGATAACTATTGAGAACCTCTCAATTATATCACATAACAACTAAGGAATATTGAATTAGGTTAGCCTTTCTTGTCACTACACTAAAACTGAACACCACAGTCCAATACAGACATCATCCGAACTGCTAATAACTTACATTATTTACCTTCACCATTTAACTCCTTACGAGTTTCACTTACAAATTTAGTAGGCCTAATTGTTTTAGTAATCTCAGATTGCTTGTGGAGTTCCTTTTCAAGAGTCCTCCTACCTTAAACTTGATAACTGATATTACAGAGGAGGGTGTGAGGAAATTGTTTAATACGCAGTTTTAGTATCACTGGTTGATCTTAATCTCATATCTAGTTATTTTATTGCTTGTTTTAATCAATAATTAAAATAAATCCAGTAATGGTTGTTAAAAACGTGACCAACTGAATCGTTTATCTTCAAAACATTCACTTCTATCCTAATAAAAAAGCTACATTTAAACCAACATGAAATAAATTCACTGTACAATTTCATGGTGATTCGTATACTAATTCTCATTATACATTGAAAGTGTTAAAAGCAATCATGGTATTAAAATTGAAAGAATGTTAAATCCACATGCATTACTTTTACTAACAAAATACTTGGAAATAGTGTTACTACTACCAATGCGATGTGTGCTACCTATGTGGACAGATATACATAGTATGTAGCAGGAATTGGAAGTGAAATGCTTATCAGTAGAGGATTGAAATAAAGAGAAGAGAAATAAAAACAATGATGGAATATGTAAATGACAACTCAAGGAAAATGTGCGGATGATGTTTTTAGTGTATGACTTTCATATTTTACAGAGGTAGTGATTTTTGCATAGAAAAATGAGTCTGTTCACTTTATCTGAGATTTCATTCACTACACTACTACTACTGTACACAAAATACATTCACCTTAAATGAAGTGAAGATGGTAATTATTTTAAAATGGAAGTGGTGTTGGAGTGTCAAATATGATGTGAAAGCTAGAACTAGAAATGATATATTTAGTGAGAATCATACTCTTATATGCAGTAGTTGCTCACTAAGTAAACGGAAAAATGCTTGGTATCGCACACATATTGAGAAGCAGACGCGCTACAAATTCACATATACTATACCAACATCATGGTAACTGCAGACTTCTGAAATGTTGGGAGCGGAGTCTACTAATTAATTAGGTTGAAAAATCTAATCTAGTTGTGAAAAAATATAGAATTTCCTGTGATTTGGAATTCACTGACTGAAGACAGTATGAACACATGAAACTAAGAAAGTTCACTTTACAAAGAGTTAGTTGTCTACATTAATTCTCCAAGACTGACTAGTCATTGAAACTGATTCATTCAGATTCGTTAATGTCAATAGATTCGAAACTTTGTATAAGGATGGTTTATTGTTGAAAAGAATAAGATACTTTTTGAGTATTCTTACGTGACATGAGTTGCATGGTTTTTTAATGGCTAGCGATACTATAAAACGTTTCAAATTGAATTGAGTACAATGAGATAGCATACTGTAATCTACTTTTGATTTAACTACTAATCCTCTGTTGCGCTTGTTAACATCCGTTATTCTCTTCTTCAACTCCCTTTTTGTGTCTATTGGTTGCGTAATATTTAAGCATAGTCATAAACTTGTGACATTGGATTTATTTATCGTTTTGATGGATCGTAATATTTACGGTAGTTACTTTCAGTTTTTTGCTACGTTGAATGTATGTTTATTTTTTCTATATTTGATGTTCTTCGTTCTGATTCTTATATTCTCTGCCATCGTAATTTTGACACAGTTATTGGCGGTTATACTTATTACTGTATGTTGTTATTGATAGCTTTACATATTGATTTCTGGAAGTAATCTTCTCTGATCATGCACGAATCTTGTACACACTTTATCAGTTAAGTTTTATAATTAACTACATACACTTTGGTAATAACAGTGCCGTTTGTGTAGATAATCTAGCGTTGTTTTGTTCGTCGGATTTTTACTAGTTACTCAATCGACAACAAGTACCTCATGACATGATTATCGATAGTGTCACAAAATATCAGTCTCCATTAACATAAACCAGTATTTATTTTAGCTCATAAATCTTTTTGAATATTAAAAAAAAATGCAGTGAACCAGTAAGAGGATTGTGTTATTTCAGACAAAAACACACACATTTGTACATGTTATATCGTTTATCTTGATAATCGATAGCCGAGGACCAACGAACTAGGTGAAGAATAGAACACAAATGTTCTTAAATATACATTTCAGTAAATAAACTCACTACAATATACAGTAGTAAAAAACAACCATTAGTAGTAGTAGTTTTCGATGATCACATTTTCGGCTTCGTTAAATCCCTCTCCTGAAGCTAACTCGTACTATGTTGGTTTAATTTGTGATTAACTGAAAACATTCGCCACAGTTGTTTGTGGGTAAGCTTTGTGTTTTTCGGACTGATTTAAATGTTTTGAATATATATATATATATATATATATATATATATATATATATATATATATATATATATATATATATATATATATATATATATAACTCCTATCAGTAGAAAATACCCATTTCGAACTTCTACTGTTTACTTTATAGGCTGCATTGTGCGACAATAATCCACTCTACTAACCTCTGACAGCGGTATGTCAAACGACTCACCTTTATGGTGCCAGACTTAAACCCTTGTAAATAACAAAAAGCAAGGTTTAGTGATATATGTTGTCATGTGTTTTTAAATGTGTATCCAAAATAAATAAACGATTGTGTGATTCCCATTATATCAAAACACAATTATATGGACGAAGAAGATTCTTTTCGATAATTTCTCATCAGGTTCTACCATTATATATCCAAATTAATAATCCAGAGGGAGATCTTTAAATTGTCGATAAATTGTGTTTGAGAAAGCTAACTACTAGTTATTGATCAGTAGCACGAATTTAATAGATATTTTTACTCGACGGAATAACGTGTAAATAGTCATGAAACATAAAAATACTGGTGTCGTATTCTCTAAAAACGTTGGCGATCATAACAACCGAAAAGTGGATTAAAGAAAATCGATTAAAACGCCAGCTTTTGCAAACTTTTGTTTATTTGATTCAGGGTTTCAGAAGTCTTTCACAATTTAAAACGACTTCCTTAAGATGCGTTCCTTTTAACTAAACAGTAAATCTGTTTAATCCTCATTCAGTTTAACTTAATGGGTGGTTTATGAGCAAAAAATTACATTAACTTCTTATGGGTGTTGTCCAAAGAACTCATCTTTCGTTCATTCCGTTTTCATTGTAAATTATTTCTGTGCAGTAACTGGACTAGAATCACAATATGCTAAACGATTCATCTCTCCTCTTTGATAAAATAACATCTCAGTCCTCCTACCGGTCCTTATATGCCGTGTCACTTTGCCATCGAGCATTCCAAAGTCATTAACGTTTTTAGGGATGATGCGATACCTTTTTTGGACTACAGAAACATTATTAGTTAACTGATTAAAGCCGGTTAAGTTTTAAAAACTAAACTAATTTTTATTTTTCTCAACGAATTACATGACCAAATAGAAACAACAGCCTCTACTCAAAGTTGTATAAGAAAGCATTGTGTAACCCAAAATTGTATCACCAGTAATTAAACCATTTAATATGACCTGATATGATATCTTTCATTTCAAAGCGCTCAAAGTTATAGTTATGCACTAAGTGTATTTATGTTTTTAACTCACTACTTATTAAAAACAAATCTATGTTTGCAAGATCCTTGACTATTACGGTGTGCATTTCGTTGATGATATTATATTTGGAAATGATGTTGATTCTGATTAAGCGATCTAAATATATCTGATACTTCACTATAACAATTCCGCGACAAATTTTGTCTAAATAATTTATGACTTTGTCATGAACCTCATATTTTCGAGATAACCCCTCTCCATTTGTATTAACTTGATCATGTCGGTAAATTAGAGTGCATTTAACAATTATTTATAGAATCAGCTATCACTATTCCTAATATTGTTAAGCTGCATATGTAGCTTGATACAATTTGTTTGAAATGATGAATTAAAAGATTAAATAGTTACATGTGAAGCTCGATTCAATTTATTGTTTATACAGTTTTACCTCAATTCAATCATCACTGAAAATAAGAAACATTGAACAACTACCT